TCCAGTCAGGTTTAATCTTCAAAAATTTAAATGCAATGTCAATGGTTATTTTTTGTCTTTTTAATTCCTCTTTTATAGTTCTCTCCTTAATATTTTTTTTCCTATTCTTTCACAATCAGTAACCTCCCCATGCATCTTAGTGGCTTTATTGCCTTGCTTAGTGGGAAATGATTAAAAATATTTCCCAAATGATAAGAAGATTAAAGCCTTTGTAAAAAAAAAACTTTCCACATCAAAACCTGCCGAATTTTACTGAAAAGACATCCAAGATCTGCGATATCTACCAGGGTATTATTACAAATAAGGGCGATTATATAATTGAATAAAATATAATCTTATCTTATTTTTTAAGGTTATAGTTTATAATCTAAAACCGTAATTATCTATTTCTCAACCTCATATATTTAGAATCCTGCTAATCATATATAAATTTTCTGGATTTGGCTGACGACATATAAGCCATCATTACATCGCTTAACGTAATAAAAGTTTGTCATGCAAAGCAAACCATTCAAATCTATTGTTATTAAAAATAACGAATTACATTTTTAAATTCAGAACCTTCTGAAGCGATGGTTCTGGTGATGGGTAGAAGCTGATGGATGCTCAAGGACCCTCTGCCGTACAATTTCCATCGCTGTGTCAGTGCACACAGTGTGCTTAGGATCTCTTCCTGGAAGAGCGCCGACTGATCCAGTTCTTTCAAACCGGACGATTAGGTTCTAAATCATGTTATCGCTAGGATTTAAAATTTTACCGGTGTTTTCTGTGTTTGAATAATTGATCTTTCACTGGAATAGAAAAACTCACAGAGCTTAATTCATTGCTTGACATCATACGTAGCCATTTTAATCTCCAAGATTTGCTCTATAACCTGTAAAAAAGAAAAGAAAAAAAATTAAAAAAAAACAAGTTATGAATTTTTCAAACCGAGTAAATTTGTAGATAATGCCAGAGAGACAAATTAAAAAAAAAAAAATTCCTGGGTGTAAAATCGCCTGATATTCCAAAAATATTAGGTTGGTGCAAAAATAATGACGTAATAATGTCGTTTTTTGACGTATTTTTTAACGTCAAAAAACGACATTATTACGTCATTATTTTTGCAACAACCTAATAGCATTAAAAAAATTGACGGAAATCTACCGTTTAACAGATATTGACCTCGTGCAGGTTTAGTTTGTTTTACGGCATATTAACACCTCAATGGGTCATTTAATACTAACACGATTTTTATTGCTAGTAAAATTTTTGTTTCACAATGTATTGCTGATAATTTTTATTCAAAAATTCATTGCTGGTAATAAATCCTATTTTTACACGTTTTCACACCGGTTTGGAGGTTAAATGTTTGCCCAGAGCTGGGACCCTAACAGGTGCTACCACCCCTGTTCAGGGTTGAACTGGGAACAGAAGGAATTAAGAGGTGGTTCCACGCTCCTCAAAACCATCTGATCAGAAACTTTGCTGTTGGATGTAGTTTATCGTTTTACACAGGACACCGTTTGGTCTTACCAAGGGTGGCCCGGTTACTTTCGATTACTGCACGAAATCTTACTGGCCCCGGTCCAAATGACAAATTATCGAGGCCAGTAAACTTTCGTGCAGTAATTTGAGGCTTACCTGGACCCAACTAAAATTGTAAATATTTCCGAAACGGTAGGTTTCCGTCAATGTTTAATGTTATTTTGGGAATAATCAGGAGATTGTATACTAAGGTTGATATATATTTTTGTCGCTCTGGCATTATCTGAAGATTTATCTCAAACCATTCAATTTTTCAGTCTCTACACTATATAATGATTCAAAGTAGAAACGATGTAAGGTAGATATGATGTTTCCATAGATGTATATGTTCGTATGGTGTGAATCCTCTCAACAATTGTTAAATTATATAATTTAAAAAAAAACAGCTTTTTATTATATTAGCTCGATTAACAAGTAATTTCTGTTTTTATGAAGCACTTTTTATATTGTATGTATCCCCCTAACTACTAATTATACGAAGCAATTAAGAATAAATTGGAGGAACATTAACATAACTTAGCTTTTGCCCGGTAGTGTCAGCATACAACGTGGCTTAATGGAAAAATGCTGTTTTTCTCCAAGGTCACTTACATCAAGAATTAATCGAGTTCCAATTTTTGTTGTTAACACAGTACAATAGGTTGCAACTTGGTTCGTTTGTTCCACCTAATACGTAATAATATATATATATATATATATATATATATATATATATATATATATATATATATATATATATATATATATATATATATGATTTGGCACCAACGAATTATTACTTTTTTTGAATGTGGCGAGACGTTCCGATTAAGAAAAACTAAATCCAAGAATTCGTCGAAAGCATTTTCACATCAAGAAATTTTTACTCGAAAAATAACGGAGGACTTCCTGATAAATGAGAACAAGTTATTTCATTTACAGTTTATTCTTTGAAGAAAGTAGTGGTTAAATAAAAACAGAAATTAGGACAAAACCCAAGATGTCGATAATAAAAGAAAGTTGTCTAAACCTGGACATATAGATATGAAAAGGTCGATATACAACGAAGAAAAAAATAGATCATCGCAAACATATTAATAGCACAAAGCCCCATAGAAATAAAGAAACGAAAACGAGATGTAAACTGCGTGGGCTAAATTTCAAGTCCAGCAGATGATAGCTGCTTCAGGATGAAATAAAAACATCTTTCTGATCGCAAAGTATGATAAGGATCTTGATTACTTCTTCCTGATATTCCAATATTCGTTTCTCACATACAGGTTTTGTCTCTCAATCCAGCATGAGAACGCCTACGCTAAGGGGCAAAACGTCTAACCGAATAGTTCTTCCATTTTAACTTATTATCGCCACATTTTTTCGGATAATATTCCACAGCTTACTATCACAAATATATATATATATATATGAAGAGAGAGAGAGAGAGAGAGAGAGAGAGCGAGAGAGAGAATGAACATATTTCGATAGAATTGAACCAGATACATGGATATAGTGAAATCAATTATGTGTGTGTGTATATTCACGTATATATATATATATATATATATATATATATATATATATATATATATATATATATACTTTATCTTCATGCCCTACCTGGTGGCAAACGCTGCTGGTGGCGCCAGGGTCGGCGGTCTCGACAGAGCCACCGAAACCGTGATATCACCCCTGGACGGCGGCTGATGAAGACAGGGTAACGCACGTGCTAACACACGTTGTATGCTATATATATATATATATATATATATATATATATATATATATATATATATATATATATAGAGAGAGAGAGAGAGAGAGAGAGATGAACATATTTTGATAGAATTGAACCAGATACATATCTCTGTGTGTGTGTGTGTGTGTGTGTGTGGTTGGGTTGGTGGTTGTATATATAAGCTTGCGTGTATGTATACATACATGTGAATGTGTGCATATATGTATGCCTGTGTATATATATTTGTCTGTGCATATATATATTTGCGTGTGTATATTGTATATATATGTGTGTGTGTGTGCGTGTGCGTGTGTTTGCATGTGTACGTGCGTATATACATATGTGTTTTTGGTTCATCTCATATACAGATAGATAAATAGATAATTTTGTATATAGATAGATAGATAGATACGATACGATACGATACGATACGATACAGACGGAAACAGAGATAGATAGATAGATAGATAGATAGATAGATAGATAGATAGATAGATAGATAATGAACATAGTGAGATAGATAGATAGATAGATAGATAGATAGATAGATAGATAGATAGATAGATAGATGAGAATAGAATGGACTAGATTTCATCACAGATCAATTGACTGATTTATTGATTAAAAATCGTCTTGCCATTTTCATAAATAAAAACTAATACTGGAATTGTGCCATCAGTCTCCAGTTGGAAATACATTTCATAACCAGTAAACAAGACAAAATCCTTATCAAAACTTATTTACAATGTCCGCCTTTTAGGCAAAAGTGCGTAGGTGTCCATGCCATGATTGTATTAACGAGACAATCGCGTCGATGACTGACCGTGCCGTGTGATATATGGAAAAGGCGCTAAAGCGAGAATATGCGTGACTTTCCAAGACTGACGTAACCGTGTGTTAGAGTTCGTAGTATATTCCATATCTTATGTTTCTCCTCCTTTTCGTTATGTTCATCTTATTCTGTGCGTCTCTCACACGATTCGCTGATAAACTGTGTGTGGTAAAATTCAGTGGTGGGTGTTTTGCCATTATCTGTTCAAACGTGGGTGGGCGTGTTTGTTGGATGCAGCCGTTAGGAACACTGCCTCAGCCGAGAAGAAAAATTGTCATCTATTCCAATGGGAAAATACGCCTAACACTTTGGCTGCTAGATCAATTAATGTTTCCTTATAATGAAACGGCTGATATTACCATTGCAATTACTATAGGGCTGGCTGACCTGAAAATAGTTTTCGGTGACTGGTCTTGCTAAGGAAAATTGCAGGCAAAAATGTCAGAGGGGATAAAGACGAGCACCTATCAGACGGACTTGTCTGAATTCATTGCGGAAAGCGTAGTGGAGAGGATGGCAAAAGAACAGGCTTTACTATGAGTTCGAAATGAGACGAGGGTGTTGGGAGCTGAAGATGAATATGATCTCATCGTAAAGTCACGTTGCGTCATGAAACTTATAATCCATTAGTGTCTTGGGACCCAGAATCCATTAGTGTCTTGAATTCAGAGTTTTCATTCTCCTGGATTGGTTGCCACCTCAATGGTTGCTATTTAATCTATAGCTGAAGGGAAATCAGTTCATGCCTTTCTTTTTTTCTGTGAAGATAATTTCCAGCCTTGGAGAACTGATATTACGTAACAGTGCAGTACTCTTCCTTTTTCTAACTTTTTTTTCTTTGTTTAGCTCTTTTTTCCCGTTTCTTAATACTTTGCTTAGCATTTGTAAGGCATTTTTCTCTATTTTAATGCATCTTAGGCTTATGAGCACAGCTCGTTGAAACACCGGTTCTAGTACGATCACCAAAGTTAAGCATAGTCAAGCATGTTCAGTACCTAGATGGGTAACAGCTTGGGAATACCAAGTGCCATAAGGTTGGGTGTGCCAGTGGTGGAATAAATAATGGTTCGCAATTGTTAATTGGAGAGAGCCAAGTTCCAATTCCCATTTGGTTAGTTATATTCACTTATGTGAAAATGATCGTGGGAAAGCTATGAATACTCCTCTTTCCACCCAGCTATGGAGTAATTAGTAAGACTTGTATCACTAAATATTTTCTGGCTTTAAATAACCTGCAAAAGATTGATAAGCCGTAAAAAAATGAATCAATTAATGAAATACTAATTAGCTGCACAGGCATGTCTTTTTAGATTTATTTACATTCTGGTGAATATAGATGTATAGACACTAAAGCGATCACAAAGTGAGGGATCAATTTATATAGAGATTCTAATATAGAATTGATCCCCCATTTTATGTGAACTTTATAATTTCTTGTTTATCAAGTACAAGCTAATAATACTTTCTGGCTTTAAATAACCTAAGAATTTCCAGATATTTAAATTTCTTTGCATGCTTAATTCTGACGTCCCCAGTTTTCATATCGTATCAAGGATTTGACCCTCCTGCGACTAACCATATCTCATATGCCCTTACAGTTGATAGTCCTTTCTTTGTGCTTATTTTCTTCTTATTTCTTAAGGCTTTCCGTCGAGTTTTCTTCTTATGTCTGCTTATCTTATGCTCTTGGGATTATCTTGGTAGGAATTTTAATTCTCATAGGAGCGCCTCGCTGTATAGGTGGAATTAATCTGGTGAAAACGAACATCATTCTGTCATGCCTCTTTCCATTCTTGGACACGTGTTCAAAGGTTTAATATCCGTATTCTATATGACAAACTGGACAATTTCCTCAGAGATTAAGAGATCTGCGACAACTGAAATGTGTTTCCACAGAAGGTTGCTTAGAATATCGCGGAAGGAATATGTAAGGAAGATGTCCTAAGGAAAACAGAAGCATAAAGTATGCTTGTAGTTGAATCAGTTAAAAAAAAGATGAAATGACCAGGACACATAATGAGGAAAGAAACCTTAAGAATATGACAATCAAAAGGCGTTTCAAAAGCAAGAATGGCATAGGAAAGAAGTGAATCACCTAATAAGTTGACCAGAAAGTCCTGACTCACTTAAGAAGCGGAAAGAAAAAATCAAATCTTGATATCTGGCTGGGGAAATTTCGAAGGAGTACTGCATTTTGAGCTTGTTTCACGCGGTTACGCCATTAACGATAAACTGTATTGCCAGCAGCTAAACCGCGTGTATGACAAACTAAAGATGGATTATCTTACTTTGGTCAATCGAGGTAGTGCTTTGTTTCAGCAAGACAACGAGAGGCCGGCCACACACTGCCAGGTTGACTAAGTTTAAAGGGATGAACGGTGTTTAGATTCTTTCACATCCACCATTCAGTTCCCATGATGCTCCGTGTGACTATGGCCTATTCCGCTCAATGGCACATTCCACGGCCAACGATTTAATACTTTTGATAAAGTGAAAGGAAGCTTTTTACAGTTTTTTCATTCAAAGCCAGTGGACTGGTATCTGGGACAGATCCGGGTGCTGGGTGATCGCTGGCAGCAGATCATTAAGAATGATGGACTTTATAAGGAAGAATAAATGTTGGTGTTGTGAGTTGGGTTTTTTTTTCTGGACAACTTAATATTTTACGTTATTGTGTAAATTGATGCGTGAAGAGGCACTGGGATGGATGGTGAAATCAACGTTATTAAGAGCCACAAAAAGATAGTAACTTGACACATTGTGGCCGTGTTCATAGTTGATGCTATTGAGTGTTAACCTATTTTTTTATTAGCGTTTCCATTATTTTACTATATTAGCATTTATTTAACATATTAACCCCATGTAATATCTATATCTCTCTCTCTTTCTTTTCTCTCTCTCTCTCTCTCTCTCTCTATATATATATATATATATATATATATATATATATATATATTAAAAAGAAGAGAAGAGAGGTGCCGCAAACGTTTTTGGTTGTAATGTGGGTTTATTTAGAATAAATATTATGCTTTGTTTTACATAATTTTACGACACGTGTTTCTGGTCTCGCGACCGTCTTCAGGTAAAAGTGGAGATTTCCACATATTATTAAAAATAATTAATTTTTCCTCATGTTCAATGTTAAATATTCTCTATATGAGACATTTTCTGTTTGTGTGTTGGTAATCTGAATTTCTTTCTTGAATTGTCAATGAAGAGTTCTGCGCAAAGGGTCATAAAACAATTAAGGTTGGTCCAGCGAGATGATAAATTAGTTATTTAATATACATACTTTTCTCTCGTTGGAACCACTACATTATATTTCTTTTTTATTTATATATATATATATATATATATATATATATATAGATATAGATAGATAGATAGATAGATAGATATTACACACACACACACACACACACATATATATATATATATATATATAGATAGGATGGATAGCTTGATTGAGGAATCGCAGAGCCGAGTTCAAATTCCACACTTACGTGATAATATCCTTGGGAAAGGTATGAATCCGCTTCTTCTCCCTCCAGCGATGGGTAAAAGCGAAGGCCAGATATATATATGGATATATATAGAAGGACAATGAATTAAAATGCGGAGGGGCGCTTGGGAACCTTGTGGTATTCGGTGCACCAGGTCTCTGTATTCGTCCCTTCAAAAAGTGGTTGGTCCTGCACGAAACCTTCACCACTATAATCAAATCTCATGTGCCGGTGTCGGGTTGTCGGTTTCCTGGAAACCTGAACTGCTTGACCCTCATACGTCGAATCTCGACGGGAGAGTCGACTATATATATATATATATATAGATAGATAGATAGATTACATAAGACTAATATATTAAACAAATGCTAATATATTGTATAACAGCATTTTTAAATCAATAAAATATATTTGGATTCGCGGATTTTTTCAACAGCAACATCTGCCCTATGCATGACTGTCTGTGGTCATATGGTCACTGCGCAGATATTTCATTCACATACAGCGGTTGAAAGCCTGAGATGTATGTAGTCATGCGTAGCGTTTCTAAGGTCCATTATACCTGAGGCAATCCATCCCACTCTATGTCAAACCCCAAGCGATTTCTTCCAACATGACGAGTCGCGTTGGTAACGAACACCTGGCCGTTGATTCTATCGAGGGAACCCTTCACCCTCGCCGTTTCTTTCAGTCTGAGAAGAACCCCCCGTCCTGACTCCAGCGATGACGTGTCGTCACTGCATTGGCTGCATAAATAGTTATGAAGATCAATCTACCTCATCGGGATAAGTAACCATTGACCCAACAATAAATATTTGTTTAACAGGTTTTGTTTTTTAATCCTAATGGGTGTTTAGCCACATTTCTAACCAGAAAAAACTTGCTGGGAGAACCGGTTTAGTCGCTGGTGGCTCATGCTTGCAGCCGGTAATATACAGTTACATGATGCCAGTAGCATTCAAAGAGTGACCTGACCTAAAGAATATAAATAATAGTAAGAAAATAAAAAACAACTCTACCAGAAAATACACCCTTGTGCAAATTAATTGAAACAATAGCTTTAATTACCTTTCTTTTACCATACGGTCAGTTTTATACCCACTGGAGTGAGTGTCTATAATCGATTTCTAATTTTATCCTTAGATGAGGTCATTTGCAGTGGTGTGTAATAATATAACTCTATTTTCGGGGTGTATGATGAAATTTGTTTGGCCTTGAAAATTATTGCGTCATCCATGTTTGCATCAGATTTTCATCACGCCCAGACACTACTGTCTCGACTGTCGATTTGTTGTCCTACGGCCATTGTCTGCGATGGACGTTACTCTAAGGAAGCGTACGAAAATTGTAACGCTGCGCACGGACACACTGGCAAGCCTTACCATTGAGCAAATCAAAGTACTATAGACTGGCTTGGAAACTCTCCTGATTTAAACCCAATCTAGAATTTGTGGTCAATCTGCAAGGAACGATTTCGTGGAATGGGTATACGAAGTACTAACTTGTGCACTGGAATATTTTCATTGGAAAAATTCGAAAGATATAAATAATGGCGGAATTATTCATTTTCTTTCAATTTTCACAAGGGTGTAGGTGATAATGGCCCTCCACATCTTCCTGTATAATTAATTTTTTCAAGGGTGTATATGCAAAATAAGTGTTTTTAGACTTAGTAACGGTAACACATTCTTGGCTAAACTCGGTCTTAGCAACTGGAGCTTAAAATTATTTTTATTGTTTTTTTTTACACTATTTACATTATTTGGACTATTGTCCTCATCTTTGTCGTCATATTTATTACAACGTTTCGGCCGTTGTACGCTCCGGCCTTCTTCAGGTGGTTTGAATGTCGAAATTAACCCTTTATTTCGCTCAATGGGGTAAACTGTTCTACATCCACGTGCCATGTCTAATGGATGTCAGTTATCAGTTATCACCTGTTAATTCCCCTCCCCAAGTTCTCCACCGCCTTAACCAGGTATTGAACTCACAACTCTTTGGGTCCTGTCACTGGATCTAACTAACGCCTCAAGGGCACATGGCACAGTGGATAAAGGCCTTCAGAATCTCGTGCTGACCTGGGTCAAGAGGGTGCTGGAAGCTCATATGTCTGGCAACAGGACTCTGTACCAAGACGTACAAACAGGAGAACACAGGCATTGTTGTCGAACAATTTATGCGACCACATCGACCGCGTTATATCTGCCCCCTAACTTCCCAGACTGCAACCCCCTTCATTAATTTGTGTGGAGTGCAGTTGAGCGAGGGACCAACAAAACTCTTTTTAACACCAAATATGAACTGGAGATAAGGATTATGGCAGAATCCACCAACTTAAACAAGGAGAACATCAAAAAGAGTTGCAGGAGATTCCGTAGACGTCTGGAGGCCGTGATGGATCTTATCAGATTTTATTGAATAAATTCATTATTTAGTATTTCAGAATATTTTTGTGTAATTCTGGTAAATATATCAGTTAAAATAAGATGCCAACATTATTTTTAATTCTGCGTCATTTAGACATTTC